GAACGAGGCCATAATCTTTCCGCAAGTAAAATATTAATGAAATGATTGTAAAAGGATACTGTACATGACTATTAAAAAACATATATCTGGCATTATCCTCCATCATGTAAATAGGTTATATTTGGCGCTGATTACTTTTAAAAAGTTGATTAATGTTAGCGAGAAAGAAATTTAAGATATCAATGTTTATCAATGATCTTGATTAAAAAAAATTTTAAATACAAAAAAGAAAGAAAATACAGAGAAATCTGATTCAATCTCATCTAGACTATTAACATTTATTCTCATATTGTTTTAGACATTTTATGCGACAAGAAAAATTAAAAATATGCCCTATTATCTCTAGATATGGTTCGAATGGCATTCAAGTAATATGTATTTTTGGGTAATTATAGTGCGGAATATGATACTTATTGGCGGGAAGAACAAAGTTTATATTTATTTGAAGGAGAAAGTGAGAACAAGAGGAATCCTAACACGTGTTTTCTAAAATAATCCTTTTATATAACTATTATCGATTATTTGTAACGTTTAATAAATGAAAAGTGCATTCATGCATAAAGTGACGTTCAAAAAAGCATGAAAGAGTAAATAATGTATTTTCCAAGGCATCGATAAATAAGAGGATGTTTAGTTAGAAGATTCAAATCATGATTTGAATCATGATTTATAGTTCGTTACAGTATTTTCTTTTATAAAAAATACACATAAATAAAAAATGATTCTAATTTATGAACCAAACGTCTCCTAAATATGATTTTTAGACAAATTCTACAATCATACTCCATATTCACTAGAAAGACTTTTGTTTTTGTTTTTGGGGCCAATTAATGCACTTAGGGAACCCCGAGTCTAAAAATGTCCACTGATTCATTTATTTACAAAACTATTCACTGGTATACCTACAAAGACGCTTTTATCCTTATATAATAAAAAGGGAATAAAATAATGAAACATCAAAATAGGAAAGTTTTCTAAATAGAATCATAGTTTGATTGTGATTCCAAAAGTAAAATAAAATCTAAATATTACATTTAATAAAAGCTGCTTATTTAAATAAAAAGAGAAAGATTCTCTAAAAAAATAATAAAAGTATCACATAATTTTTAAAAAAGAAATTGAAAAAAAAAGGGAGCGCCCTTCCACTGCCCTCCATCGTCCTCCATAAACAATAACCATGCATAAAATGTAAATACGGAAGAAACACAATATGCATATGCATTTTCATTAACATGTCATCATAAAATAAAACTTGTAAAACATAATAAAGACGAAAAGAAAATAAGCACTTTCGTTATTTTAATAGATATATCATTATGAAACAAGCTGAATATAAATGTTTGTAAGAAATATGAAACAACAATAATACACAACACAAGGTATGAACTCATAAAAAAAACAGTTTCATTACTGTAATGTTGATATCATTATAGACAATCACAAATATAACAATTCGTAACGAATAGCAATCATCACCGATGAGTTTTTAGAATATGTAAGATTAGAAATGTGGTGAATATTCTTCATTATCAAAATGAATATCATAAGTAAAATATACAAAAAAGACGATAATGAATAAATGAATATGCATTTTTATTAACACAATGATATCATTATGAAATAGAACTTGTAATATATAAAAACGCTAAAATATACTAAACAATATGCATTTTCATTATTTTAACAAAGATATAATTATGCATATTTCATTATTTTAACAAAGATATAATTATGAAACAGACTGAATATAAAAGTTTACAAGAAATCTAAAATAACAAAAATACACAATACATGAACACATATATCATTAACAAAAATGAACTAAAAAAAAAAGAATTAATGTGCAAAAAAAAAAAATCCTTTAATTTCGTAAATATATTAATAAAATCATTACCAAACAGACCTATGAATCGTAAAAAAGCAAAAACCTTACTCAACAATATGTATTTTAATCATTTTGAAATAGCTACTAACATATAAAATAAAAGCTCAATTTCATAAATTCACACATCCACTGTTTAATTGATAATTACATAATGAACCAAGAATGAATAAAATAATATACACAAGCTATAAAGTAATAATAATTATGAAAATATAAAATTGATATACAGAATAAAAACGATAATGAAAAGGGGATAATTTATCTAATAATAATGTCATTACCAAAAAGAATAAACTCATTTTCGTTGTTGTAATGATAATATATCATTACAACAATGAAAATGAACAAGTGTGAACAAAAAAATCGACGATAATGAAAAGGGGATAATTTATCTAATAATAATGTCATTACCAAAAAGAATAAACTCATTTTCGTTGTTGTAATGATAATATATCATTACAACAATGAAAATGAACAAGTGTGAACAAAAAAATCGAAAAAAAAAAAAGACATCAAAGACATAATAGAAAAATTAAAACAAAGAATAGAGAATACACCCATCTCAACACAAACGGAAAAAAAAAAAAAAAAAAAAAAAAAAAAGGAAAAAAAAAA